AATGGAGTGGATCACTTTGAATTGCTATGGTGTGACTTTGTATTCTAAGTTCAAACAAATTTTACATTTATGTGAATGTTATTTCCTTTTTTCTTTTTTTTAATTTAAATCAGTTTTATCTGCAGCAGATAGGTAGGTTAAAAACTTACTATGTATACCAACTAATAAAGCTGATTATTACCGCCTATAACAATGTACCCCGTGTAAAAGTGTTGCATTTATGTACAAAACATGAATTTCAACGCAGTCTAAACTGGATTTTGTCGCTAGACTACAAAACTACAAAAATAATTGGTCGCAGTCCTAAATCAAAATGCAAATGTTTTTCAATAAATGAATGAATGCGCAATTTAGAATCAGTACGCACAGCACGCGAAATAAAAATTAAGGGCGTGGACCCATGACTCAGATGCATTAACACTAACGTGCTCACTTCACCCTATGCGGCGCTGCATTGCACAGAAGAGGGTGAATAAAATCGATACCGTCAGACAAATGCAAGCTTTATATAAATATTCTGTATGTATGTATAGTAAACTTATTAATTTAACCTTGCTGAGGGAGCTCCAGATATTGATTTATTGTGTCTGCGAAGGAAAAACGTTTATATTTCAATTTTTCTACGCTACGCTGTCGGCATGTAAAGTTGCATAGCTTTATTTTTTAATGTTTAACATATTGAGACTTATAAATGATAATATATTTTTGTACAAACAAAGCCATTAAATTGGTCTGCGAAAAACTTTACGATTAATGCAAATGTTACCAATAACTAAACTTCTTTATGACCATAGAGTGAACTATGACTCTTTATGACATTAGAAAAACTAACACTTGCGTGCGGTCCACCTTATGGTACGTAGTATTACTATAATAATTATATTCTGTGCTTAATGTAAGTAGCCTATGTGACTCATAAACGCTTGTAGCCAACTCTAAATAAAGAAAATCATAGGTGTACACCCTTCAGGATTTAAGTTAAATGCCTTCTAAATCTCGATAGAAAAGTGGCTCATGATCATGAGTGGCTCTTTTACGGGATCACCAGGGGAGTTTTTATATTCTTTCGTAGACGAATAGGTACTGATTCTTAGCCGTAGCAATAAGTTAAGTTAATATTTTTATTACATACCGCCAATATTTTAAAAGGATAGATTATTAACAAAACAAAATGTAATTGTTGGTGCGATATAATTGCAGTCTCGCTGAATGTTTCTTTTGTCTAATAAAGCGGAGTTTGAACTTTTGGTCTGTAAAAGTCGCAATATATAAAATCTGACTTAATGTAACTAGATTAAATGGAAGATACAGTAAGTTTAGTAATTACCTTTGTATTTGTTTTATAAAAGAAAAAAAATTAAAAGTTTTAATAAGGATAGATTACGAGAAAAGTACTTGTATATTACCCAAACTCCATACAAGATGTAAAGTAAAAAGTAAATTTACAGCATTTAAATGTCCTACTCCTGGGCACAGCTACTCTAATTTTTGAGTAGGTTTTAGGACAAATAGGTATCCACCACGTTGAGCCAGTGCGCATTGGTGGACTTCACATAATCTTCGAAATATATAATTTTTTATTTCTCAATCATGCGAGTATCCTCATGATGTTTTCCTTCACCGCTGTACACGCGGTAGCCCATAATTTAAAATTGCAAATTAACAATTGCATTAATTCAGAAATACAATTAATTAAGAAAAAAATATGTAATGCACTATAAGTTTATAACGGTAACGTTATTTTATTTAGGATGATCATTTACCGTTAATTACAACTAATTATTTTAAAACTGCAAACTCATAGAGAAAGCACTGAGAAATAGCGGTGAAAAGAGTTTCAAACGCCAGTTACTGGAAAGAACGCTTACACTTTTTAAACAAGATATTATCATTTATACAAACTTGCAGCAAATACTCGTGGTTATCTAGCTGTTGCCGCGATATGTTCGCGTGTTGTATAAATTCATGTAAACCTCTATCCGTTATACATGTAATGAAAACAAACACTAAATTGATTTGAGGAAATTATGGAAGTTGTCTCTAAACTAGGACATGCCTCTTTTGTTATATATTTTAGGATGGTTTTTAGGCTTTAAGGTGGTTTAGACACATATCAAAGAAACTATACCAACTTTACTGTCAAATAAACTTTTCCAAGACATGCGACATATATAGGACTGCCTCAGATTAGGATTACAGTTTTTGAAAGTATGTAGATAGATAGATAGATAGATAGAAAATTCTTTATTGCACTCAAACAAACAAACATTTGGTACAAAGGCGAACTTAATGCCAAAAAGGCATTCTCTGCCAGCTAACCTTTGGTAGTGTGGTGAGAGTTATGGGTAGAGCCGCAACAGAGGGAAAAAAAAAACTAACTTACTTTAGAAACTAACTTCACATATTATTCAATAATATAATATTATATAAATATGTCACCTTATATATATTGACACTTCATACACACACATATATACATATATATAAATGTAGGTTTTTATGTATGTATGTTTGTTCGTTCCTTTGGACGACATCCTGTAATCAAAGTAGTTTAGCCATCTCGTTAAATCGTATTGGCCTTCTTAGGGAACAAAGCATAAATCTTATTTTATTTATCTGCTAAGATCAATAACTTGATGACATACATCTTGACACGGACCTGAAGTGGAGCTAAAGTTACAAAGGGTCGCCCATATAGAATTGACAAACGATGGGAACTAAAGCAAATTTCAGGTTGCAGCGTGGCGGGCGTCTTACCTGTAAGTGAAGTTTAGGGCGGCCTGAACTACATGGAGTCACGACCTGATGAAGAGATGCAGGAATTCGATGGATGCAGGTGACTTAGGACCGGGCTGGACAGTGGACAGTGTTTGGGAAGGCCTATTTTTAACAGCGAACTTTTGATCGCAAATAAGACAAGATTGAAAATACAAGCAAACAAAAAACAAATATTGTTCCTGCGCCAGTATCGGTACATAATAAATAATACTCGTAGTTTCCCCGTGGAATTTCAAGAAGCTAACTGTAGACCTTGTAAATATTTTATTCGCAGTTCCCTAAGGAAACTTGTTACTATTGCATTCAGTGAATCAAAAATCTAAAATGGAAGATGAATAAAGAGATATCGTAGGGTTGCAACATGTAGGTGTTAGAAAAAAAAATCTCTTCGGACATTTCACCTAACTAGGAAAACTTTATTTTTATTATTCAACTAGCTGTGCCCCGCGGTTTCACCCGCGTATATCACGCGTCTACGCCTTGCGGCATGCGAACTTCGAGAAAGACATCACGACGGACGGTTGCTGAATTAACAAAGATTTAAAAAGTGAAAAATGTTACTAAAATTACATGGTTAACGTAATTGGTGGTTATGCATGGTACAGGTCCTGATACGAATAATTGTGGCCTAGTTTGTACCAGCGTTACTATTTCATATTTTAATATGAAAAAGTACTTATTGTGACATAACTGTAATAGATAAACATATGGTATCGCAGACTTTTTGTAGATATTGATATCCTCTATAAAACTGAAGTCCATTACTTTGCTTTACCTAACAACATAACAACTAACATTATCAATAGTTTCCGCAGCGTACGGGATAAGAGGATTCTTTTTGGTATTTTTTTCACACCTTAGGTTACATTAACGAAGTTTTCATACGGATACCTAACTTATTTGACAATATTATATAGCGTATGTTCATCAGGGATAATGTAGGATTCTAATGGTGAAAAAATTTTGCAAATCGGTCCAGTAGTTTCGGAGTCTATTCAATTCAAAGAAACAAACAAATCTCTCCTCTTTATAATATTATATTAGTGTAGAAGAAAAGTATTAAATATGCTTGATTTTATATCGCTAAAACAATGTAATCAAATATTTTTCAACTAAAGCTTATAGTACGCATAGCGCCACAAAAATGTACGTAACTCTGGAAACAAAACTTTTTATTTATTTTTCCCAGCGCAGCGGTGGAGTATGGCACCAGCCCGGGCTAAGAATAAAATTTTTTTTTTTTGAAAATGGAAAATATATTTATTTAACCAAAAGACATTACATAATTAAATATAACAAATCTTTGTCAGATTTAGGGATGGGCAAGTGAAAAAAAAATTGTATTGGGTTCTTCTACATGTAGCATTTATTTTTCCAAATATTTGGTTAACGAACCGTCTTTGCTTGATAATAGATAAATGTAAATAAATAACTACTACGTATATGATTAGGGTTTTATGTGTGCGAGACGACTATGATTTATTTAATCATTTATACTTATACTTATCTTCACGCACAATCCCTGACGGGGTAGCCAGAGAGAACAGATCGCCAAGTGTCACGATCCTTACATACCTCTTTCGCTTCTTTCAGATTCATTATCTTCTTCATACATGCACGTCTAGGTATCCAAGTACTCTTGACCCTACTCTCTTCGAGCAATTTGCTCACATGGCCTTCGAAAGACATTTAATCATTTCATATATTTATTCAGTTTTCATATATTACAGATACAATGTTACAGGTTTTAATCTAATATTACATTAAACAAAGATAAAACTGCATTTTTCTATTAAAATAGCGACAAGACAGGATAGAAATATCGAAAATTATTGATTATTGAAATCTTATTTGCATAATATGAATACTGCACTCGATGAAAACAAGAATTGCTACTAATGCATTACATCATCTCATTCTAGTGCTTCCTTGAGAGTTCAAATTACGCACAACATAATAAGTCGTACGTGGCCGCTTTACTTCGTGGGACTGCAGAGTGCGTACACGATTGGAGCGATAGCATTGATAAAATGTTATTACCATCGCTTATCAAGGCATCGCCTTATCACAGTGTGTAAGCATGTGGATACGGCAGTGCCTTTACCATATATGGTTACGAAAAATGAACCAACTTGGGATTGGTGGGGCATAATTGTATCCGATAGTACGTGAACTCTGATAAGACGCGTTTTATATACTTTATCCTCACGTACCTTTCCTCATTTTGTGAGGTGAGCTGGACGTAGCGAGCGGTCGTACTAGTCACTATATTTATATTTAATTAAAAAAGTAAGTTTTATTTTTAATAAAAATAAATAATGTTAAAATTAAAGCGTTAACAGTGTTGGAAAGTTTTTGCAACAGTACAGTATATAATTGTGATTTTTCACGGTCTTTACGCAATTCGGGACGGTTACGTAATGTTAATACAGTGAAGTGGAACGTTTTTTGTAAAGATCTTTATCAGCTGGCTGGAATTTATTCGAACTTTTTGCGTTCTGTTGTCTCTAATGACGAGTTAATGGAAAATATTAAAAAATTGAGCTGTGTTGTTAGGTTTACAAGTTTTTTGGAACTTGTTAAGATTTTTTTATATTTTTTTCATATGAGTCTTAAGTAATTAGATTATTTTAGCATAGGAAAAAATTGGAAAAAATCTAGCATGTTTACTTAAGGGCTAAGGGTTCGCCGTAAACACAGTACGCGAGCAATCCGGGTTTGATCCCCGCCGTCACCAATGAAATTATTGATCATTGAAATTTTAAGTGGTGATTTACAACGAGGACATAGTGAAGAAAGAATATTTCAAGGACATGTGACAAACATGGCAAACTATTTGAAAGTCCCGTCGAAATCGGTCCAGCCGTTTCGGAGATTAACCGGTACAAACAGACAGACAGACAGACCGATAGACAGACAGACAGACAGAAATTAAAAAAAATGTGTTTTTGTTATAAGTACCGTACCTATATACATTCATATGCATTTAGTAAAAAGCTGTTATTTTAACATTACAAACAGACACTTCAATTTTATTTATTTGTATAGATTAGTAATTTCTAGGCAGTAAATAACATAATATTATGGTGATATTATTTACATAGCGACTTTTGTTAGGCTTTTTTTTACAATTTGGCCATTTTCTTTTACATTTGTCATGTGTTCACCAGCCTCACCTTTGTGTCGCTAGCGCAAGCCTGCTATAAATTTTGGCGGTAAAGATAGAAGAGGGAAAAATAATGTTGTATAATAATATGTTAAAATCTCTAACAAATAATTAGAATATTGTTAGAATTGGCTGTAATTTCGGAAACGGAATATTCAATAATTCCGTTCACAGGGCTATTGACTGTTTGCCATAGTGTTTTGAAAGTATTGTCATGCAATTACGCAATCATTTTGGTAAATTTACTATACGTATAGAAGAACTAAAAAGTACCTACTTATATCCTCTGAATCAGACGTTCATTTTAAACAGATACTCAAAGACGCGCTGGTTGAGTCTCTTCCCGGCCATAGAAAGGATTTTACAAATGTATGAGCCTCTAAAGTTATATTTCCTGAAAAATGAGAATCATGTATCCAGAACTTTTAAGTTTTTCGAAAACGACCTCAACGAAAGCTATATTTGGACTGTTCATTTTTTCATGGCAATTCATCGTAAAGTAAATGATAAAAAAGTTTAGTTTTAATTTAAAAAAAAATTGTCGTGTTATACTAAGACTAAAAAATTAAGGGTGTCCGGCCTTTTTACCCAAATGTCAGGTTAAATTTGCTGGTCTGTCGGGTTTTTCGGTTTTAAGACCTGGCAACCATATACGGTACTAATAACAAAAAAAAAACAATTTTTATCTGTCGGTCTGTTTGTATAATAAAAAAAATTGAAGTGTCGGTTTGTAATGTCAAAATAACATCTTTCTTCTTTTTGCTAAAGGCATATGAAAGTGTATACGGTACTAATAATAAAAAAAAGAATTTTTGTCTGTCGGTCTGTTTGTTCTGGCTAATCTCAGAAATACCTGGACCGATTTTGACGGGAGTAACTTAGGCTACTTATTACTTAAGCTAGTACTAACAACTATCTGTTGCCCGCAACTTTGTACGCGTGGAATTTATTACCTTTGGATTTCTTGGATTTTTGCGCAGAACCCTAATTCTTTTTCTAAAATAAAAGTAGCTAAAATAACTCCTTATAATATCAGCTATCTGCTAGTGAAAGTCCCGACAAAATTGGTCCAGACCTTTCGGAGATTAGCTGAAACAAACAGACTGACAGACAAACATTTTTAAAATTGTTTTTTTTTTTGTTATAATTATAAGTACCGTATATACTTTCATATGCCTTTGGTAAAAAGAAGAAAGATGTTATTTTGACATTACAAACCGATACTTCAATTTAATTTATTTCTGCAAATTAATGGTACACCTATGATTGCCAACTTTATGTAGGAGCAATAAAATATATTAAGGTCGGGGATTTAGAATAAACAGTATTTAAGAAAAATAAAAGTATATTTTTGTGATCTTAAAACATAGTTTTGGAGCTTCTTGCACAATTTAGTAATTTATTATCGTTTGTATAATATTCGTTAGCCTCAACAACTGAAGTCGAATTTCAAATAAATGAGGAACTCATTTTTTTTTATTAAATCAGAAGCTCTATTTAGGTTTCACAGCTATAACAGCGATGATAAAAACAGTAATCTTTATACATTTTTAATAGAACAGTATTAAAGAGCAAAATAAAGTATGATACTGTTTTTAACAGTATGGTTGGCAACTCTAGGTACACCACTAATCTACAGAAATAATTAAAATTATATTACCTAAGTAACTTACTCTTAGAATATGTCGCCAAATTTATCTCCTTACGAGCTTATCTGTCTGTATATCATGATAAGCAAAAAGTAATATGAAGTAAGGTGATAAGGTAGCTTGTAGATTGCTGAAGTTGTCCAAATTTGGAGAGCTTGTTTTTAGGATGAATAATGATTTCTTATATTTACGCGAACACTACACATTTAAATAAAACTAATTTTACGGATTTTATCGCGTATATTAACTTATTTTATATTCCCGACGTTTTTAGGTTGAATATCATGTATTTTAGTTTTATATAAATAATTATTTATCTATTAAATTATTTACAGACTAATTCACAATGTGCGACGAAGAAGTTGCCGCTCTGGTTGTAGACAATGGATCCGGTATGTGCAAAGCCGGTTTTGCTGGAGACGATGCTCCGCGTGCCGTATTCCCCTCAATTGTGGGCCGCCCTCGCCATCAGGGTGTGATGGTGGGAATGGGACAGAAAGATTCCTACGTGGGCGATGAAGCGCAGAGCAAGAGAGGTATCCTCACCCTCAAGTACCCCATCGAGCATGGTATTGTCACCAACTGGGACGACATGGAGAAGATCTGGCACCACACCTTCTACAATGAACTCCGAGTCGCGCCCGAGGAACACCCCGTTCTGCTCACAGAGGCTCCCCTCAACCCCAAAGCCAACAGGTATGTCGTGGGAGAATTAATGATGCAGTGATAATTTTATGCATTCTTAAAGACAGCTGGTTAACCGCGACCCTTTTGTTTTCAGAGAGAAGATGACTCAGATCATGTTCGAGACCTTCAACACACCCGCTATGTACGTGGCCATCCAGGCCGTACTGTCGCTGTACGCGTCCGGTCGTACCACCGGTATCGTTCTTGACTCCGGTGACGGTGTTTCACACACGGTGCCCATCTACGAGGGTTATGCGCTGCCCCATGCCATCCTCCGTCTGGACTTGGCCGGCCGTGACCTCACCGACTACCTAATGAAGATCCTTACAGAGCGAGGTTACTCATTCACCACCACAGCCGAGCGGGAAATCGTGCGTGACATCAAGGAAAAACTGTGTTACGTCGCCCTCGACTTCGAGCAGGAGATGGCCACCGCTGCCTCCAGCAGCTCCCTCGAGAAGTCCTACGAACTTCCCGACGGTCAAGTCATTACTATCGGAAACGAGAGATTCCGTTGCCCAGAGGCCCTCTTCCAACCGTCATTCTTGGGTATGGAAGCTAACGGCATCCACGAGACGACGTACAACTCGATCATGAAGTGCGACGTCGATATCCGTAAGGACTTGTACGCCAACACAGTATTGTCCGGCGGTACCACCATGTACCCCGGCATCGCCGACCGTATGCAGAAGGAGATCACAGCGCTCGCTCCTTCCACAATGAAGATCAAAATCATTGCACCCCCGGAGAGGAAGTACTCCGTATGGATCGGAGGTTCCATCCTCGCGTCCCTGTCGACCTTCCAACAGATGTGGATCTCGAAGCAAGAGTACGACGAGTCCGGCCCCTCGATCGTGCACAGGAAGTGCTTCTAATTTCAAATTGCCAAGTGAGACTATTTCTACTTTATGATGCCCTACACCGAGATCACAATCGGCGGCTCAAATCACGCTTGTAATATATTGTATAAGTGCAGTATTTAACTAGGTTGTAAGGTATCGTAATATGCATATTACGTAAACATGCGGATCGTTTTTGTTTCCGTTGTTGACAAATGATTTTTGAATAATTTATTGAATGTTACTAACCTCAACATTTTTAATAAAAAAATAATTTATATACCGGTATAAAACTGAAGTTTCCTTGATCACCCAAGATTTAGAAAAAAATGATATAAAAATATTTTACAAAATAAAAATTTTAATTAACACTTTTTTTGCCATTTTATCCTTGCTATAAAAGTGCTGCATGAGAATCGATTTTTTTACTGCTTCTTCTAAATTGAAATTTTTCCCATCAAAAAGTTATCTAAACTTCGAAAAAGTAAAAGTCTGTTGGACCAGGGTCTGTAGAAATTTGATGGGTGAGAAAGGGTCTCCAGACTGAACTCTGCTAATTTTGATAAGGTTTGTTGTGCAGTATGTGAAGAGCCCTCTCCTTTCTATGCCGATTCAACGATATAATGCAAGCTTGGACTCGGCCTCTTGCTGTGCTTCACTCAGTTCGTGCGATACCCATTTGTTAAGCTTATATATTTTACCAATTGGCCGCACAGGATTAATGTTATTTTGACATTTTCATGAAAAGCCGACGCTTGTTCGGCCACAACTATAGTTTGAGGCGAATCCGATTCCAATAAATTTGTCATAACCGTAAGTACATTATACCTCAATGATATCACCCTCTTCTTCGGGCGACCCCGAGATTTATTAATAAGGTCAAAATTTCCCGAACGGAAACGATTACTATTACGCACAGTTCGTTCCTTAGTAATCCAAACCCTTCATCAATAAACATCATTGTGCGTGACGTTTATATAGCACTATTAAAGAAAGATCTAAAACGAAAGAAACAAATGAATAAGTAAATGATTTTGAAAAATGAATGAACATCTTGAATATTTAATTTATTTTTATTAATTCCAAGTTAAATAATTAAGTTCAGTCGCCAGTTCAACAAAACGGTAATTTCGTAAACCACTTAAACTTACTAAAATTATACTCGTATAATATAATTATTTTAAAACTGTTGGTATATTTTGAAATAATCAGTTCCTCCTATTTCATGCTAACAAATATGAAAAATAAAACTATTAAAAAAACTGATGACTATGTATTTTTGTAAGTGTTTGGTACCTACGCAATCATTGTCATACCTACGAGTATAAAGAACCATACGTCAACTAATCGATACTTGTAGTTAGTAGTCAAAATGCACACGTACAATAAGTTACGTCATAGTTACCAAATAGTTTACCGTGTAGAGGCGGTGTAAGAATATCTACTACCCCATATCGTCCCGTGGGAGTCATAAGAGGCGACAGAGGGAAACAAATCAGTTTCCGACCCGCTTGCCAAGCGTGGCAACTATGGCAAATATCCCTCTATGAGGCAATCTATGTTGGTGGCCCATATTCAGCAGTGGACTTTAATAGGCTGTAACGGTACCAAATAGTTACTACACTCTTAGCGATAGTAAAGGACTGTCCAATTGACATTTCGCTCTACTTCGAGTGCTTCGAGTGCGTTGTGCTAAAAGTAAAAAGTCCCAACTAAAAATACATTTTCATAAATATTTATTTTTATTTTAATTTATATAGTTATTAATTTCATGTTGTGACCGTATTTTGCTGTATTTTCCTTAAATAATAATCTAGGAAATGTTTTAAATATGACATTGTTTAGTAATTTGCGGTAAATATTATGCTTATAACTCGCAGTTATAAATAATTATTTGTTAGCGTAATATCCTGTTCAAAAATAATACGATATGCTTGAACAAATATACAAATTAATGTAACTGTGGGTACAGTTTTACATACGTAGTCGTTTCCTTCTTAAAACGAATCCATTTTATTTGTGGCATATTATGCTCTTAATATCGATCCTGACGGTAGAGTGTATTGACCGTTGTAGGGTATCTACTACTTACTACCTTACTGCCTCAGGTGCTACTACCCTATACCGGGAGGCCTATTTTTGGTATTGGACTTGACAGCTTGTCATCATCATCATCATTACAGCCCTTCATAAGTCCACTGCTGAACATAGGCCTCCCCGAAGGAATGCCACAAAGCACGGTCCTGAGCCACCTGCATCCAACGACTTCCTGCATGTCAAACCAGGTCGTCACTCCATCTAGTGGGGGGTCGCCCTACACTTCGCCTACCGGTACGAGGCTACCACTCGAGAACCTTTCTTCTCCATCGGTTGTCGGTTCTTCGAGCTATATGTCCGACCCATTGCCACTTCAGCTTACTAATCCGTAGGGCTATGTCGGTTACTCTGGTCCTACTGCGGATATCTTCATTTCTAAGTTTATCACGCGGAGAAACTCCGAGCATAGATATAAAAAACGTACAAATATAGAAAACGACTTCCAATGCAGCGGTGAAGAGTTTCGGGGATATAACGTCACCCTGTCTTACACCTCTCTGCAGTTGAATAGGTTTCATACTCTGATTCTGTACACGGATAGCCATCGTAGCTCTACTGTACAAACACTTCAGCACCTCGATATACCGACATTCGGGAGGCTGGAAATCGTCAAGTCTGCGTGCGAGACGATTCGTAATGACTCTCGAAAACAGCACGTAGACGCGGCTCAGAAGGGAAATCAGTCTGTAGTTCTTCAAGGGAGCATTGTCGCCTTTCTCGAAGAACAAGACTACCGCACTTCTGCTCCACGCCTCCGGGGTAGTGCCACCATGGAGGACGAAATTAAAGAGCTTCTGAAGGACTTTCAGGACCGGCTTTTCGCCCGCTTTCGAAAGCTTCGCTTCGCTGTAATTCCATCATTACATGGGGCCCTGCCGTTTTTAAGGTGCTGGAGAGCCATTCTAATCTCGCTGAGACTAACGTCCGGGATATCTTCGGAATAGTGTCGGATAAAACTCGCTCTTGGATCGTTACTCACACTTGCGTGTGGCCCCAACGATGACGTGTACAGCTGCCCATAGAACCTCTCAATCTCACTCAAAATCTCAGGTGGCCCCGAAACAATGCTGCCACACTCGGTCTGCAGTTTTGACAGTTGGCTCTTTCTGGCAGACAGATCTCTGGCAAAGACTTTGGAGCCTTGGTTCCACTCGATCGCTTCTTCAATACAAACTGTATTGAAGTTGCGTAAGTCCCGCCGCATGCATTTGGAGATCTGTCTGTTCAGTTGCCTGTATGCTGTCAAATCTTGAAGATGGAGCTTCATCTCCCGTCTAACAGCCATGAGATTAAAAGTGTGATCGGAGAGTTTTTGTGTTCTTCTGCGGCGGGTCTTGCAAAACTTAGCTTCGGCCGCATGGACAGTTTCCACGAGCTTGTCATTCATATCGTTTAGTGTATTACAATCTTCTAGGCATTGAAAACGCTTTTGTAACTCGAGCTGAAAGGTTTCAGGACTTTGGAGTAGAGCACGAGGGGGACGGAGTGTTGACTTCATTGGACGAGACCTCTCCAACTTAACGTTTAGGTTCAGTGTGCTTCTAACCATTCGGTGATCGCTACCAGTTTTCACCCTCGCGATCACGGAGACATCACTGAACAGTTGTCGTCTGGTCTTCATAATGAAGTCAATCTCATTTTTTTGTCGAACCGTCGGGGCTCGACCAGGTCCACTTCCTGTGGGGCCGCTTCTGGAAGAAAGAGTTCATCATAAAGAGTCCCTCTTTCTCCATGAAGTTGGCCAGCTACTGGCCCCTTGGGTTCCGTTGCCCTATTCTAAATTTCCCTACCTTCAGCTCACCGTTCTCTCTTGTGCCTAGTTTTGCGTTGAAGTCTCCCATTAACACCGTATAGTGGGTTTTGGAGGAATGCATGGCTCTAATAATATCCTCATACATTTCCTCCATCACCTCATCGGGATGTGCCAAAGTTGGTGCGTAAATCTGTATGACCTTCAGCGAATACCGTTTGGTGATTCTGAGTATAAGGTACGCAACCCTCGTCGACACACTCTCAATCTTTACAACTTTGTTAACAAGAGACTTGTGGACGATAAATCCGACACCTCCTTGGGACAAATGGTCGCCGTCTCGGTGATAGAACAAGTTGCCGGATTCGAGGATTACCTCCCCCTCTCTTCGGACCTCGGATAATCCTATAATATGCCAGCGTAACTTGTCTATCTCTTCTTCCAGCTCCGCGATCTTCTCGTCAGTCCTCAGGGCACATGAGTAAAGAGTCCTTACTTTTTACTCTGTGCTCAGGGTGCGTGCGTTGTATGTCGCCAGGTCTAGTCATCTTAGGTGGCAACCGATCCTCTTCCGGAAATTCTTAGCACCCCCTGATCCACCGTTACCATGGTTGCCACCGTAGCCAGGAATAGCCGGGCCGCCGGGGACTAGGAGCCGTCTCTTTGTTACTTTAATCATAGGAGGGTATTTGCCATAGTTGCCACGCTTGGCAAGCGGGTTGGCAACCACATTTTTTTATTGTAAATTTGCTGTTGTCAGGAAGATCTCCTACCTGTTTCCCACTGTGGTCTCTTACAACACCCACGGGAAGATATGGGGTAGTGGATATTCTTAACCGCCACTACACGGCATTGCTTGTGTTGAATAAAAAATGTATTTAATTACATTTAGTTTCTCTTTTTATTTTATTTATAAAACTAAAATGATAAACGAACTTACAGTTAACCTGATGGCAAGTGGCTACTATTGTCAATGGATTCCTGCAGCGAACTTCAAACAAAGAACGCTAGAGATGCGTCGTATCCCCGGAGGCTTAAAATGGAATACCTCACAGTCTATAATTATTCTACCCTGTACCCAGGGGTCAGCAACCTGCGGCTCGCGAGCCACATCCGGCTCTTTGGATGTGAAGCTGCGGCTCTTTAGTTTCATGCGAAAATATTATTTATTTTATAAAAAAAAGCATTTAAAATTAATGGATCCATACTGAGCCATTTGGAGTTCATACTGGATCTCTAGAAATGCAATTGATCGATTTAAAAAGTAAAGCTTTGTGGAGTTGAAAATTTACAGACTTGAAAAGCTAGTTGAAAGATTTGGAGGTCCAAAAATGTATGTACGTAACGCAACAAAAATAAACAGCATTAAAAGAAATGCTGCAAGTTGAGGCATGGAATAGTCTTCCAGATTGCTACAGTGAGGTGAAGAAGTTGGCATTTGGAGTGCTGACTATCATCGGATCGACATATTCGAGTGAGCGAGCGTTCTCTTGCATGAATATAAATAAAAGTAAAATAAGAAGCCAACTAACGAATGAAAATTCAGGTCGTGTTTGAAACTTAAAACAACAAGTTAGCCAACACTGGGAGTGTTTTTTTTTTGTTTTTGTTTGAATTTGTTTGCTTAAATGTATGTTATTGTTTTTTTTATTTTTAAGTAAAAGTTACGCTGTTTAGTAAAGTTTAGGTTTTCTACTTGAATAACCATACAAAGCCAAAGCTCCCATTGAATTTGTTTGCTCAATCGTTTGTTATTGAAGTACAAATTAGTGTTGTAAGACTTCCAATGTAAATAAATGTTTAATTGTTTTAATTTTTTACTTAAATAATAAGTGATTATCTAATAACATACATATATATATATATATATATATATTATCTAATAAATAGGTAATAATAGAAATTTGTTCCAATTTATTGTGAAAAACACTATTTATATATGAATAAATATATATATTTCTTATGAATAGATTTGTTTTTTTTTTATCAAAACTTTATTTATGCAAGTACAATTTATGGTTGGCAAGAAAAACTTTGTGGCTCTTGAAAAACTTTGAAATTTTGTAAATTGCAATTTTTGACTCTTCCGACTCAAAAGGTTGCCGACCCCTGCCCTGTACCCATAACCGGAACACAGCAGTGCAAGCACTGCTATTTGGCGGCAAATATAAGTACCTAGGAGAGTAATACCTACCCAGACGGGCTCAAAGCACAGAATAAATAATAGTAACTACGTACTCAAAGGCAGAAAAGGAGTTGTAGAGGAGAACGGGTACAAAAGTAACATTTTGTATTTTTACCTTGGTTTGTGGTTATAGTATGCAATGCTGCAGTATATCTTCAATACCGCAATATTGCGGTATCGGAACTTGTAATATTGCAAAATTTGCGAT